ATTGAACTCAGGACCCTGCTCTTGCCAGGCAAAGCACTTATTCTACTGAGCTATTTCCCTGGGCCCTGGTTCCTCTTATAACTTAAAAAAAATTCATGTAGACCAAGTGGCTCAGATAGTAGCAGTTACAGAGATAGATTATCACAAAAGGCCACAGGACCAATAACAGAAGTGAGGACTGCAGCATCCATATTTTATGACAATTGCTTATTTCTCTTTCTGTTTATGTGAAACATTATTTATGTGAAAGCAAACACCAATGTTGATTAATTTTGTAGTATGGCTCCAAGTGTAATTTGATTAAGTCGACATCATAACTGGGTAATACAAGATAGAATTGATACAACTTTGTGCTTCCCCTGTTTTGTTTTGGGGAGTTGTTTTTAATTCTTTTTATTTAAATGAAAGAAAATAACAGATGGACCAGACTGGTTTGCTGTTCCAGATCCACTCCCCACTCTTCTCTGCCCAACTCCATGCCCTGGGAGGATTGACCTCTATGGACTATTGTACCTACTTTTGGTTCTCTAGTTTGGAAATGGTTCAGCCTCCAGGAGTTACCAGGGAGAGGTTTGAAATGTTCTTCTGCACTCCTTCCCTACAGCCCAGTGGTGGTTTGTTCCTCCACATATGCTTGTGTTCCTTTCAGGTGGCCTCTTTCAAGGCTGTGGCTCTCACTGGGGTCTCTCAAAGGCACACACCGTGTTGATTGTTCCCACCACAAATTGTTTTTTCCCCTCTCCAACTCCATGTACGTACATGGAATCATACAGCATGAACTCTGTTGTGCGAAGGTTTTTTCTCTGAGTATAGTGTTTTTGAGAATCATCCATGCTGTAGTGGTTCGTTTAGTAGTTCGTTCCTCTTATTGTTGAATAGTGTTCCATTGTGTGAATGTGGCATGGTCTGTTCTCCTATTCATGTATGGATCATATTTGAGCATGTCCAGCCTCATTGCTGGACACAATAAAAGTCCTACGAATATTTTCGTGGATAACAGTTTTCATTTCCTTAGGTATATACTTATGAGGGGAATTTCTGGGACATAGGCAAGTAGTTATTTAACACAGTTTTCTCAAGCAGTTGCACCAGTGACACCCTTGGGACACACCATCTTCCCTGGTTAGAACAGACCAAGACAGATGTGAACAAAGATAATGCTTCATACCAACTTTTTTTTTTTTTGTATTGGGGATCTAACTTGGGACCTTGCTCTTGTCAGGCAGGCACTATGCCGCTGAGCTATACTATATCCCTGGTGCAAAGATAATGTTTCAAATGACATCAGGAGAAGGTAGTAAAGCAGTATCCAAATGGCTGGTATACAAACACTGCCAGGCATAGCTGTCACATGGACAGGCCCTGCAGGTGCCTTCTGAGCCCTCCTCTCCATTCTCAGCTCTAAGCTTTAAAATGACTCCTCCACTCCAGACATGTCAAGTTTCACCCCTTAGGTTACCAGCTAACTGTGACAACTGTACATTCATTTACTCTTAAATACTAGTGGTTGCCAGGCCTGGCTACATTAATACCCAGAATCTCCACGTTTCAAAAGCAAAGCATAATAGAAAGGTAGGAAAAAAAAAAAAGAAAAAGAATTAAGATTCATTATGTATGTGTACCATGATAAACATAATCCCTATGTACTGCAAACAGGTGCTAATTTTTTTTTTAAAATGCCAAAAACAAAAGCTTAAATACCTAAAGGAATTAATCACTAATAGTAGTTTTGATAGGAATGATGGAGTAGATATCATTTCAATGCACCTCAAAGAGATGTGAACTGAAAAATGACAATTGTATCAAATCAGATGTGAGTTCAAATTCCAATTCTTAATTATGGAAAAGTGAATTTTTGGCCAGGCACAGGAGCTCTTACCTGTAATCCCAAAAAGCTGGGTAAGGATTGCAAGTTCTAAGCCAGCCTGGGCTACATAGCAAGTGCAAGACCAGCTTAAAATATGTAGTAAGATCCTGTCTCCTGTCTCAAAAGAAAAAGATAAATTATTTTGAAGTCTATGTTCTAGTTCACTAGCTGGAGGCAACAATATCTCCATTTTGTTCAGTCGCTATTAACTGTCTTAAGTTGAAGGTTTTTTAGGGCCAATGATGGCCTCATTTGGGGTCTAGAAGAGGGGAGAGCTTGTGGGCAGGTGATAGATATTTGGTACCTGAACATGTTGAGGATTTGTAAACTGTAGAGTGCAAGGAGTGTCCCAGCTCATCTCTGCTACTCTGTGAAGAAAGTAAATCCCCCTTCCTCTCCTGAACAGCACTGATGTTGAGGAGAGGGACTGAGCTAGAAGAAGGAATCAACTCGGAAAAATTCACCACAGCACTTGTTTCCAGTGTCGATTCCCAGACCACACTGAAAGAACCGGAATCTCTGCCCCCACCCACGTCAAGGAGCCCTGACTCTGGAGATGGGTGCACCAGTGGAACCCCATAGAGCTCTTGGTGTTGAGACTATTGTACTGGGATGTTCACTAGACAAAGCCATCGGTTCCTTTAGATTCCTTCCGCGACCCTGCAGATGCCCTTTCCTGGCTGGAAAACAGCAACGTGGTCATTCCACGAGTTTCACTCCTTAGACTGAGGTTAGAAGCTAATTTTTTTTTTAATTGCAAAAAAAAAAAAAGAAAGAAAGAAAAAGAAAAAGAAAGAAAGAAAGTTCCTTCTCTGTAAGAGAATGCCAAGTCAGTCTTTCCCGTTGGAAAGTCAAGAGACAGAGGTCCTAGTGAGGCACCCGCTTTTTAACCAGGAGGGGCTCGGCCTCACCCGGCGTCCCCGTGGCCACCCACGGGCCACCCTGTCGTCCCTGTGGCCTTCACAGACCAGGGCTTCTTGTGCCGGCTCTGCTCTCCCCGCCCCCTCGTGCCCTCACCCTCCGCCCCGGCGGTGCCCGCGGCGCAGCCCCTTTTGGCACCGAGGCTTCCAGGT